GGCTAGTTTTATTTCAACTTGAGACAAGCTAGAGTTACTTGGGAAGAAGGAACCTCAATTAAGAAAATTCCCCCAGAATTTTGGCCTCTGGAAAACTCTATGGGAAAATACCTCTGGTTATTCTCTTGATTAATGGTTGATGTGAAGGGGCCCACATCATTGTGGGTGGTACCACCCCTAGGTTGGAGGTCCAGAGTGCTATATAAAAGCAGGCCTTCCTCCATGCCTTCTGCTTCAGCTCCTGCCTCCAGCTGCCTTCCATGAGTGCCTCAAAGACGCACTACAAACTCAGATGAAATAAGCCATCCGTTTTCAAGTTGCTCATGCTCACGATGATCAGGACAGGAATAGAAACCCTGACTAAGACGGTGAGTCCCATAGGAAGGGCAGACAGGTCACGTGGAGGCCTCCATTCCTCCCTCTCATCATCAGCAGGGGACAGAGGGCCCCCACACGCCTGCTGTTCTGACCCATCACCACCACTCCCACAATGGCACCGGGTTCTGGTCAGATGTCTGGGGGTGACAGGTCTCAGGCAGCAATACCTAAGATGCTTGAGTGCTCCCACACGGCTTCTTCCTCCACACTGGTCTGCTCCCCCGACCCCTCTGTCACTTGCTTTTAATTTTTTATCCATTGGACATGCCAAAGAGAGCTCCCCTTCAAACCGCTCCTCCAGGTCTATCCCATGTTCAAATAGTAGGAAAAAATGTGGGTTCACGGCTGTCCAGTGCTCGCTGGCTTTGGAGGACTTTGGTTTGTCCGTTCATATGCAATTTATTGTGGGGCCTATGTTTCATGTATCTGCACTGCAGAGAGAGGGGAACGATCCATTCCCTCCATCCTGTAGATGAGGAAACAGAAGGCCCGAGAGGGAGGCCCCTCTGTCTGATGGCCCATAGTCAGAAGGCCCGAGAGGAAGGCCCCTCTGTCTGATGGCCCATAGTCAGGGGTAGCAGTGTGAGGACTCAAACCTAGACCCCTCTGAGGACGGGATGCCTGCCATGGACCTTGCAGCGTATTGTCGCCTGCCATGGACCTTGCAGCGTATTGTCGCCTCCATGGAGGAAGCCCTAGGTCCAGCAGGCAAAGCCTCCCACCCACGCATCACTCTGTGTTCTCACTCCAAGCTCCCCCATCTACCTAAGCACGCACTCCTAATTACATGTCCTTCTCACCAACGTTCCCGGCTCCTGCCCGCCTTCATGATTGAAAGGAGAAAATCAAAACAGAGGCGGGCATGAGCTGGCAGAGATCACTGACCCAGCTCTGCCAATGCGTTGGTGAGCTTGACCCCAGCCTCTTCTCCTGCCTGCCTGCGCATCTTTTCTCAGGTTGCCATGGAGACAGGTTCAAATGGCTTATCTGTTTACTGTTACATTGCCGGTGTTTGTGTTGCAGACATTCAATTCTCGTGAACTATGGGTTGAATTTTCATTTTGCTGGCGACAAACAACACAGGAGACTTTCAATCTAGGTCCAGCCTGGGTCACTTTGCAAAGATCCTCTGAAACAGACAGGGAAGCCAAGGGGAAGGGACAGGAGATGCCTCTATCCCTGCTACCCCTGTCATATCACAGCTCGCCATGACTGTTAGCAGGACACATTGCCCTGTCTTGGCTAGGCTTAGTCCTTGCTTCCTCTGCACATATAGCTGGAAGCAGCAAGTTTCAGGGGACCCCTGACATCACTGGTTCTAATTCAATTCCCCATGACTTCTCATGGTAGCCTGACCCACTTGAGTCCTGTGGTCCAGGTAGTGTCAGAGGGGCACACCACAAAGATGCACCCAATGTGGAGGGCTCTCTCTCTCTCTCTCTCTCTCTAGCTCTCTCTCTAGCTCTCTCTGTCTCTGTCTCTGTCTCTGTGTCTCTCTCTCTAGCTCTCGCTCTCTCTGTCTGTCTCTCTCTCTAGCTCTCTCTGTCTCTGTCTCTCTCTCTAGCTCTCGCTCTCTCTGTCTGTCTCTCTCTCTAGCTCTCTCTGTCTCTGTGTCTCTCTCTCTAGCTCTCACTCTCTCTGTCTGTCTCTCTCTCTAGCTCTCTCTGTCTCTGTCTCTGTTTCTCTCACTCTAGCTCTCTCTGTCTGTCTCTCTCTCTAGCTCTGTCTCTGTGTCTCTCTCTCTAGCTCTCTCTGTCTCTCTCTCTAGCTCTCTCTCTCTCTCTAGCTCTCTCTGTCTCTCTCTCTCTAGCTCTCTCTCTCGCTCTCTCTCTCTGTATGTGTCCCTCCCTCCCTCCTTTCCATTATCCCTCTTCCTGCCTCTCCTCTCTCCCTCCTCCCTTACTTCCCTCTCTGCTTCCCTCCTGTTCTCCCTCCCTCCACCCCTCCTAGCTGTTGTTAGTCTCAAAGATCGATAGAATTCTAGAAATTACTAATTCTTTTAACGGGAACACTTTGCTAAAATCTCCATTCCCAGAGGGCTTTATTTCAAGGACCAGCTCTGCTTTTCCCCCACAGCCCAGCAAATGCATCACACACTTAGCTTCAGTTCCCATGGCAACTGGGGCTCATGATGTAGGGACTAAATATGAGACAAAAGGAAGCGGAGAAGTGCCTGTGTTCTCTGCTCCTCTGCGGTACACAACAAGCCTCTATTACAGGAGAAAATGGAAGCTTGCGCAATTCCACCCTGCCCTCCCATCGCTGCTTGGTGGTGGTGGGGGCAGACAAGAAGGTACAGAGCTCTGAGGTGAATTTCTCCATCCGCACACTGCGGCAGAACGTTTTGCAGACCTCATTCCTGACTCCCCCTTACCAACAGTGGCTTCTACCCCCAAACTATGGCCGTCACCCCTAGCCTTCTTGCCTGTCTCAAACTGCTTCCCCCCTCCACATCCTCTAGCTTCTGCCATGTTGTTCGAGCTTCCAGTCAGTTTTAGGACGAAAACCTACATCCCAGCCTAGTTTCAGCATTTCCCCCCAGAGGTGGTCGTCAGTCCTCACCATGGTGTCATGAAGGACATGAGGGTTGTCTCTCCTCTCCTGCCTGAGAGACCTAATGTCCAGATGAGGGGATCAATCTGTAAGGCTTTCATTTCCTGCCGACTCCTAGTTCCTGGGCTTTACAGAGACAGACACGAGGGGGGTGGCTGCTATTTCCCACTGTAGAAAACGCACCAACTGTTTCAGCGTGCTCCTCACCCCCTACCCTCTTGTCCTAAGGGGACAACTTTGACCTTGGTCTTCTCGCACCCTTTCAGAGCCTGGTCAGCATGAGAGGCCTGACAGCTTGAATTTGTCACGAGACATGGCACCAAAGCTGAGCCGAGTCCCTGGTTTCGCTTCCCTTTGCTCCCATGATTCCAGTGTGTGGACGTCCGTTTGTCCAGCCACACTGTGCTTGTCTGGCTCTCAACTGCCCACCGGGCACATCCCTCGGCCTGGACTTTTGCTCCCAAAGACCAAGAAACTCATTCTAGTTGAGCCACCTACATCCCTGGCGATGCCCTTCACACAAGGGGGCCACGCCAAGGCTTGGTCACCATTTCGACCTTCGGGTTCTTTGTGAGGTTTCCAATCGGTACTCACAATGGGTGTTTGCACCATCTTATGTTCTCCCAAGATACCATGTGCCACCAACGCCTCCATGTTTCAGAGCCACTGAGCGACTCCAGGGCTGTGGCTCCTTTGGAGAAGATCCCAGGGAGGAAGGGCAATCCAGGAGGGCGAAGCTTACCTTGTCTGTGCTGCTTCATAACACCGCCCCCAAATACAAGACAACCCTCCCAGGAGTTCAAGCTCTATGTGGGAAACAGACCTCAGCAAGCAGTGGGAAGTGACCAGGTGATTAAACCAAATGGCAAGAAAGCGATGGCTGTGTGTGTGTGTGTTCCCGGAGGCCAAGACCAAGCAGCCATCCTCTGCTCACTACAGGAATGCTAGCCCTCAGGAGAGTCCATTTTCAGTCAGTCCAGGACCACAGCTTCCCTGCTGCGTCTAGAGAATCGCCCTTTCTCCCTCTGCTGAGGAGAAAGACCCCCTACAACACTGGACCGCACTGCGGAACCTCCTTGTCTTTCCACCCTCAACAGGCCATCCACCTTGCCTTCCTCTAGATCCAAGCTTATGCACTCAGGGGGCAGAAACACGTCCTTCCGGGACCGGGGATTATCCCCCAGTGAATGCATGTCTTACCTCACCCTGCCACGTGGGTTTACCCCATGTTAATCATTCCAGATCTCGTAGATTTGAACCTCAGTCCTCAGCTCCATGCATCTCTGGCTCGACTAAGCCTTCATCCTCAGTGTGACCACATGCAGAAATGGGGTTGCCAGTATTTCTTTTTAAGTAGGGTTTCAGCAGGCCAGCCTTCCTAGTGTCCCTGATCTCTCTTTCTCTCTCTCCCAAAGCTTAAGCCCTGCAAGCGACCTCCACTACTCTGGCACCTCTCAATCCCTCTCACCAGTGTTTGGTTTTTTCCCCATTAGCCTGCAGTTGTTTCCCTCTCGATTTTAGGTTAGCTGCTTCTCTGTCATGTTCTTTGCTGCCCTTTTTGCCAAGTTTTTCTGCTAAGTTGATCAGTCGTCAGCCTTCCTCCTCCCCATTTGCCCCCCAAGTGTCCTGCATCCCTTTCTGGGCTCCAGACATCTTTACTTCATGATCCTGGCTGCTTGCATAAGAACACTCCAGACACTGTCGGTCTGACCATTCATTCTGTGCTCTCGTTAGCACAGACTGTGACGACCACAGCAGCTCCCGGGGCCCGAGCACATCTTCCTGTGCTGCTTCTCCACGCTTCCCATGTTCTTGTGCGCGCAAGAGTGGCCTTTTATCCCCACCTCTCCCTTTCTCATGTTTTCTCCTCTAGGAGATTCATTTTCCCACTGTGAATGTAAACACAGTGTACATCTGTCAGCTCCTCCATCAACCACCGTGTTTAGTTACAAACAACACAAACTCGGGCTTGCTGAACCACAACAGCACCTCGTGCCTGGGCATACGTATACCTTCTTTAGAAAACCACCTGGGTATCATTCTTAATGATTTATTGATCTTTATTTCTGTGTATGAATGCTTGCCCCTGTGTTTATATGTGAACTCATAAGTGCCTGTAGCATCAGAGGCCAGAAGAGGAGGTCAGATACCCTGGAGCTGGAGTTACAGATGACTGTGAACTGTCTTGCGATGCTGGGAATAAAACCTATGCAAGAGATAAAGGACCCTCAACCTCTGAGTCACGTCTACAGATGATATTCTCCCATGTTTTAAAACGTAGTTCTCACCATTGTGTTTTACTGATATTGTACCTCCTGGGGTCACGTTGAGGGCCGTGCCCAGAGTTTGTTTGTTGGATATTTGAACAGGTGATTTCCTTATTGATCCTTTGGCAATGTCCCATCTTCCACCCAATTCCACTCATTTCCCAGTCCCCCCATATCTGCCCTTCACCCTGTTAGCATCCCCCACCAAAAAGAAAATTTGAATAAATGAAAACCAAACCGAACAATTCCACGAGAGTGAGCCCACCCGACACTGTCCTAGAATTCAGGGGCTGGATATCCCAGGGCCCTAGGATTGACCCAAACACCACTGGACAAATTCCCCCCCCCGCCCCCAGCGAAACATGTCAGTGTAATGATGCTTTTTATTTTTGTGTATGAATGCTTGCCCCTGTGTATATACGGGAACTAATGATATTCTGCTCTACTCCTAGATTGGTGCTGGATCAAAAGTCCTACGAGGGGCTTCATCCAGCAACTTCTGGAGACAGATGCAGAGATCCACTGTCAAACCTTAGGCTGATCCCAGGGAATCCAACTGAAGAGAGAACGGAAGGACTGGAGGAGTCACATGACTCAAGGACCACACAACACACGGAAACAGCGAACCTGGCTCATAGGAACTCACAGACACTGAACCGACAACCAGGCAGCCTGCATGGGACTGACCTGGGCCCTCTGCATGTGTGACAGTTGTGTAGCTTGGTTCTCTTGTGGCTCTTCTAACAGTAGAAGCAGGGGCTGTCTCTGAATCTTGCTCCCTTTGGGACCCTACTCCTCATACTGGGTCACCTTGCCCAGCCTTAATACATAAGGAGGTGCTTAATCTTATTGCAACTTAATATGCCATGGTTTGTTGAAAGGAGAAGAGGTGAATGGGGAGGAGGTAGAGGGGAGGTGGTGCGATCGGGGAGGGCCTTAGAGGAGAGGAGGGAGGGGAAACTGAGGTTGGAACAAAGAAATAAGTAACTAAAAAAAAAAGAGAGACTTTGTCTCTGTACTTCCTGCCTCTCCAACACCTCTACAATTGTCTTAGTAACATTGGGAGCCAAGGTGTGTCACATAGGCAGAACATATCCCCTTTTGTCCTATCAGCTTTATGTGCAATGTTCATTGCGATGGTCTGGTTCAAGGCCTCTGGTTTCTGGTCTATCATCATCACTAGACCCTCTCTGAAACGCCTCTCAGTAATCCGGAGGGCACCGCGAGTCATGGAGATGACTCTACTTCCACAGGACCAGTTCCTTCATGTGGTCTAGCAGGTCATAGCTTGGGCAGATGTAGGGTGGGCCAACCTAAGGCCCTGAATGGGCCCCAGTTGTAGTTGAGCTTGTCAGACCTGGGCGCTAGGGCTGCCCCACTCAGGTGTGGGACAGAGCCAGCTCTCCTATGCCCATGCCATCAGGGCCAGGAAGTGTTGGGCTACCTCTCCCAAGTGCAGGGGCAGCTCACCAGTTCCCAGGTCATTGGGGCCAGCTGTCTTGCTGCAGTGTCCAGCAAGGGGCAGAGTCAGCTTTCCCAGGGGCTAGAGAATGGCAGGGCCGGCTTAGCCTCGCCTTTGGATTTCATGGTGCATGGTTCTCATGGCCCCCTGTGGTAACACAGGCCACAGATAGCAACACAGACACCAGCTGCAGCAGGACCATGGACTCACATAGCCCTCAGCTGCAGCCCTGACACAGATGTCACCATGACACTTGGTAGCTGGGCAGCCCACTCAGATCTGTATGGCCTACCTGCAGCATGGTCTGCAGACAGCATCATGCCCTCAGGTGGTGGCCTGTACCCCAGGCACCTGCGTGGACTTCAGTCACAACTGGAGCCACCCAGGACGTCAACACACACCCTGGTTTTTGCAGGCCCACAGACCCAGACCTGTCCCCCAGGTGCAGCTGAGACCCAGATGTCATCATGTCCTTCTTTAGCAAGCTTAGGTCACGCAGACGCGCATGGAATCAGAGGCAGCAGGGCCCTCAGGCACCAACATGACTGGAGATGGCAACCCAGACCTGTATCCGTGCTACCTTTGGGGACAACATGAGCCATGGGCATTCACACAGACCTTGGCTACAGCACGATCGTGGACCTAGACATTGCCGTCTCCAGCAGCTCGTTCCCAGGTCATCTTAACCTGCTGCAGCGTGGCTCTTGGACACCCACATGATCTCAGGAGGGGAGACAGACCTGTTCATGCATTTTAAATTGCTGTGCACACACTGAAAACAGCAAGGAGTCTGATGCACTCTATGCTCAAATATCAAGTGTGCCTTAACCATTTCGAAGCCGCATACACTGACTTCTCTCCTCATCCACGTTCTCTCCCCTCCTCCTGGTCCCTTTATTCTGCCCTATCAATCTCCTCTTTTTTATATGCTGGTCATATATTATGCATGAGAAATGTGTTTGCTTTAGTGACTCATTTTTACGTTGTTTGGTTCTTTTGTAGTTGGTAGGATTATCTGCGTATTCATTAATTTTTCGCCTGCTGGATATGTAGCAAATATTTTTCACCCATTCAGAATGCTGTGTCTTCACTCCGGCAGTATGCTTGCTTTTGCTGTGGAGAAAGCTGTTAATTAATCTAACGCCACCCGCCAAATATGTAGAACATTTCCTGAGCTATTGAACCTTTTAAGAAAGTTCTTGGCTGTACCCTCTGTTGTGGTTATTTTCCCTCTACCTTCCTCTGACATGTTCAGAATTTCAGGTTTGTTATTAAGTACTTCGATCCCTTTAGAACTGATTTTTCTTTCGGATAAATGATAGGAATCCAGTTGTAATCTACATGTGTCTATCTAGTGTCCCCAGAACTATACGTCATCAGGATGCCTGCCTGTTCTCTAATGTCTGTTTGAGCATCTTTGTCACAATGGCTGCAGCCGCCACATGTGTTCTCTCTCACAGTTTTATACTTCTGTGTTTAAATAGGAGTTACTGTCTGTAGAAGTCAGGAAGCAAGAGTCGGTCTTGAGGGAAGGGGCAGTAAAATGCTTGTGACATGGAAGTGCCATTGGGGGAACACAAGGACTAGAAAGGCTTAAACAGGGACGGTGTCAGGGGCAATGTGGTTAAGAAGAAGGTCAACCGAAACTTAGGATAGAGGCAACAGCCACGCAGAAACTTCCTAAATTTAGAAGGTAACTAAAGCTTTGTTTTTTTTTTTTTTGGTTTTTTTCGAGACAGGGTTTCTCTGTGGCTTTGGAGCCTGTCCTGGAACTAGCTCTGTAGACCAGGCTGGTCTCGAACTCACAGAGATCCACCTGTCTCTGCCTCCCGAGTGCTGGGATTAAAGGTGTGCGCCACCATCACCCAGCTAAAGCTTTGTTTTCTTTTTGTCATTATAATTCCACCTTTCCTCCCTTTCTTTTCCTCCCTCTAAAGACGCACATATACCCCTCCTTGTTCTCTTTCAAATTTATGGCCTTTTTTTCATGAACTGGTTTCACGCATATGTGTATGTGTTGATGTATATACATATCTACTTCTAAATATAGCCCTACAGTGTTTATCATGTTACTTGTATGTATGCTTCCAGGACTGATCATTTGGTATGGGACAAACAATTGGTATGCTCTTCTCTGGAGAAGACTGTTTCTTCAGCTCTCAGTATTCCTTAGTTGCCTCATTGTTCTTTGTATAGGGCTGAGGCCTAGCGGGCTTTCCCTGTCCATTTGGGCATGTCTGTTTTTGTCCTTGTTCAGCTTATGTTTGGGGAGTCACACTGCTGACACATTATGGGTAACTCGTGGTATTACTAGGAGACAGAGCCTCACAGCTTGTTCCCTGATCCTCTAGTTCTCGGAGTCTTTCTGCCTCCTATTCTAAAATCTTCCCAGAGCCTTAGGTGCAGTTGTTTTGCAGATGTATCCATTGGGACGGGCTCTGCAACTCCGCAGCTTGATGGGTTGTTGTTTTCTGTAGCAGTCTCTGTCTGTTGCAAAGAGAAAAAAATGATGAGAGAGGACTCTACTTACCTGTGAATACAAGGAGTTAAGAGCATAGTTAGCGATTATGATGGTTTAGTAGAGTGGTGGTTGTGGGTTCCCCTCCAAGACCCATGACTTCACTAGCCCTGGGTAGGTGGCTAGGTTTTCAGTACCAGCCGTGGTTTCTCTCCTATTAAGCAGGCCTTAAGTCCAATTAGAGAGCTAAAATTTTTAAATGGTAATACCCTAAACGAACAAATAATGCTGATCACAAAAACCATAGATTTTGAAACAAAAATCTCAATGCCAGTTGTGGGTTATTTCCTTCTGAGTTGTTGGCTAGAGGCTCCCAAACAATGGAGGGTACTGCCATTGTTAGGTCAGCATCACTGAAGGAAGCTAGCACTACGCTGGAAGGCCCCATGCAGGTTGTGGGGAAAGCCATCAATGCCCTTACCCAACTCTGGATCCTATCCATGGGAAGAATTACATACGTGGAGCCGCAGGTCTGCACTGCTGTGATAAAACACCATGACCAAGAGTGACCTGGGAGGAGGAAATCGTTTCCTTCTTCTTAGCTTGTAGTCTACCATCCATGGAGTCAAGGCAGGAACCTGGAGGCAGGAACTGAAGCAGAGAACATGGAGGAGTGCTGCTCACCGATGTGCTTGCTCGTCATGGCCTGCCCAGCCTGCTTTACTGTTTTCACCTTTTAATGTCTTCTTGTTATTAGTTTCCTTTTTTCTTTTATATTTGAGATAATAGAACTCCAACATTTTCGTATTCACTTTCCTCCTTCCAATCCTTCCTGTATAGCCCTCTTTGCTCTCTTTAAAATTCATGGTCTGCTTTTTGTTAACTGTTATTTTACACACACACACACACACACACACACACACACACACACATCAACTGTACAAGGAGCCAACTATATCCCAGCATGTATGCTAGTAAACATCTCTCAACATCCTCAGCAGGCCCACCATCATTGGCTACTGATTCTGCTCACCCAAACTGCATCTCACCACCTCTCTGAAACAGAGAAGTCTTCCTCTGAGCACTCTGACCGATCTTGCATCTCCTCATTGACTGCTGCCACTGCAAAACATGCTGTCTTCTGGACATGACGTGGTGACCAGAGTCATGAACTGACATAAGCTGTGTGTACCTGCAAAAGATCAAGTCAGCCCACACTCAGAGAGGGGTGCTCTTCTGGATTCTCTCCTTAAAGAAGAAATGCTATTGACAGCCAACAGCTGCGGGGAGAGGGAGAATCGTTGCTTTTTGAGGGTTTTTACTGCTAGGTTTCCTTTAGGGAGCAATAACTGGGCTGAGAGGGTTACAAAAAAGAAGACATGAAATTAAGAGGGGGCGTGCTGGGGGCTGGGGAAACATGACAGAAGTTGGAGAAGGAAACTGAGGATCACACATAATTATCTTTCATTGTAGCTATGTATAAAATTCCCACCAATTGTATACAGATCTATAAATAGACACACACACACACACACACACACACACATAATAGAACATAAAATTCCTGGATGCCAAGGAACTGTCTGTCTGGTGCCATGTTACTCTAGGGTGGAACACACCAAAGGGAATCAAGAAGGCCAGGTGAAGGAGGAGCATTTTTTGACTTTCGTTTGGTAATATCAAAAGGGGTTTCTGTTTGACATCACTGTATACCTGTTGTTAGAAACTTTTCTTAATTACAGCAGCAAAATAAGTCAAATAGAAATGTACACCAATGAATTTTCTAGTGAGTATCTTTAAGAATAACCTAAGATTGCTCTCAGAAAGTGTCTTCTAATGTTTTAGATTGCTGTATCTCTATTGCTTCCAATCTGTTCCACTGAAAGGCCAGACATTAACCTCCTTCTTCACTCTTGCTGGTACCGCAGCAAAAAAGCAGGATCACCTGGAAGAGAGAGCTGAAAGCAGACAGAAAGCCACACTCCGCTGCCCCAAAGTCTCCACTCATTGCAGCAATAATGTGGCACTTTCAACTGCCCAGAATTAGCTCAGCAAACCCTATTTTCTGGATACCTGCTCCCCCATAGTGACCTGACTCCGGTTCCACACATGGGATGAGGAAGGATGCACAGCTCAACAAAGGTAAGCACTGACCTCAACCTTCTCACTGTCACGTGCTGCTCAATGGGCTATTTTGTGCTAGACTGAAGACATGTCCTTACTCACCTCAAAAACACGAACATACCCCACTCTAGCCCTATGACTCCATGTCCACATCACGAGATCCATGTAGACAAAGGGCAGCAACAGTAAGCAGCCAGCGCAGAGCATACCTGCTTTCTGTAGGCACTATCTCTGTTAGATATTTCGAGCCTTGCAGAGACCGATGATCATACCTTTCCTAATGCCAACACGCTCTCAAGAGACAGTCAAGATGCACACTTCAACCCTGGGAAAATGGGAAAATGCAACAGGATCCTGTCCAAAGTCAGTCAGTATCTCTTAAGTACATGTCAGGATCTTTGGCATATGCAGACATTTCAGCAAACCTCTATGCTGCTGCCAGTGCCTTTTCCTAAGTCACAGGGATTTGGCACAGAAGTGTTCCATTGGCACAAGAGGATACCAATGAAGAAAACAGGTGAACAACCACACAACTATTTCCACATCACTAAGCAAAGAGTAAGGCAGCAAGAAATTGAGAATGGGGAAAGTATGGATGCACAGAGAAAAGGAGAGGAAGGAAGGGAGGTGGGAAAGATGGACAGAAAAGAGGCAGTTTAATAATTGAAATTGTTTAAGATATATTGTTCTGAATTCTGTTTCATTTTTCCTTATTTCCTTTTATGTAAAGTTCACACACAAGCAAAACTTTGTATGTTTATAGACATCAATAACTACACAAGTTCTAAATCTATAGGCATACAAAGGACTATCTGACTCTATGTGGCCGCTAAGGCAGACCACAAAATGATACGAGAGATAGGGCCATGAGATGAGCTCCATCTCTACCATGCTTTTTCTTTCTTTTTGGTTGTTTTTTTTAGCAAGTTTTAAAAATCTAATATAATTACATCATTTCCTCCTCCTCTCTCCAGCCCCTCTCATGTCTGTCCCTAATTCTCTCTCAAATTCATGGCCCTTTTTCTTTATTATTCTTTCATATACATAAATATATATTTGCATATGTACATGTATGTGTACATACATAAGTATATAAATAAATCTTCTGAGTCTATGTAATGTTACTTGTATATATATGATTTTCAGGGTTGACCCCTTGTGGATAAGAGATTGGGAGGTTCAGTCCTGGGGAGACTAATTCTCCCTTTTTAGCATTCTCAGGTGCCTGCAGTTCTTTGTCTAGGGGTACAGTCCCATGAGATTTCCCTTCAAAGTAAGCATGCCTATTGGTGTAGTCATTATTCAGGTTCATTTGGGCAGCCATATTTTTGCTAGTATCATGGGTGTAACTTCCCTGTCACTTCTAGTAGACACAATCTCACAGCAAACTTACCTGTCCTCAGGCTCTTGAAATTTCCGTGCCCTCTCTGATGTTCCATGAACTTTAGAGTTGGGGGTTTTAGGTAGATGGATCAGTTCAGGTTAGCACCTACCATCACTTGTTCTCTGCACTGTGACCACTTGGGGTTTTCTGGATTGTCTCTGTCATTTGCAAAGGGAAGCGTCTTTGATGAGGGGTGAGAGCTACACATATCTGTGGGTATAAGGACAAATATTCAGAATGCAGTTAGGTTAATTACTGTTATCAGACATGGCACCAGTAGGTTCTACTTGAAGATCCATGAGCTTATTAGCAACAGGGAATTGGTTGAGTTTCCAGTACTAGGCATGATTTCCCACTGTTTACCGGAGCCATAAGTCCAATTAGCCGCTGGCTGCCACCAAAATATAACTGTCACTATTATATTTCTAGATCTTACCAATGCTGCTCATGCTTTGGTCATAGGCCTCACAGACTGGTAGGACAGTTGACGGCTTCCCTCTTCCAGCAGCTTGTACAGCGCCTTCCATTACTGGAAAAGCTAGTCCTCAGGGAAGAGGCTTTCAGGTCAGCTTCAGCTCAAATCCTCTAAGTCCTGTGTCTGAAGAGCAAAGAGTCGTCAACACTAGGAATTTACTTCTTGAGGGCAAAGACAATAGCAATAGCCTATATTGTTTTGGGAGTGTCTTGGACTCCCCTAAACAACAACAGGAAAGGAGATTTCTCAGACTTTGTACTGGGGGTGGGGACTTTTGGTCTATGGTTCTTCGAGGAAGCATTAGTGAAAAATTTCTGCACCCCATAAGTCTCTCTCTGCTAATGCAATAATCTGAATCAGACCAAATAAAACTGAATTAGAAAAGACCCAGGTTTAACGGATACCAATGCTCCAAGATGGATTTCCAAACCCCTAGAGAGGAGCTGGGGAAGGAAGACTAGAAAACCACGTGTTTGTTCTCTGAGGGGCAATTTAAATACCCTGTGGGAGTGGTCTTGAGCTTCTCTGGGGAGGGGGTCATCATTTGGCAGGCTGTCTTGGAGGTGGAGTCTGGGCTAAGGCAACTCCCAGGGGAGGAGGCTTGGGATGAAACTTCCACCCAGACATTCCAGACTCTTTGGGTATATAGATGCCAGGGGCTGAGGTGAGGCCTTAACACAAACATTCTAGACTCTTTGGATATATGGATGCCAGGGGCTGGGGTGAGGCTTCCACCCGAACATCCCAGACTCTTTGGGTATAGGGATAATCCGCCAGGGACTGGGATGAGGCTTTAACCCAAACAATTAGTACCCCAAGTGATATAACTTCACTGAAATTATTCACATATATAGACACATACCAGCTACAGATGAAGACAGAGGTCCTACAGATGAAGCCCCAGATACACTGCCTACTAGAATTTGGTCACAGCACCCTGGACCACCCCTCACTTGGACTGACTGTAATGATCTATTCTGTCTCTTTAAGAGACAAGCCACGCCCACCCCCTCCCCTGTCTGCTGAAACAGGTTGATCTTCAGCTTCTAGCCTGAGTTCCTTCTCTCTTTCCAGTCTTCCTCTCAAAGAGGCAGCTTCTGCCTCTTCCTACTTTTCCCCTTCCCCCTTCTGTCTCTCCCCTTTCTTCTCTCCTCTCTCTCTCCCCTTCTCCCTCTTCCCTTCCATAATCCCCAAATAAATATCCAACCTCACTCTGCATGGTATGCCTATCCATGTCTCTGTCACCCGTCATCGTGTGTCTTCCTGCCCAGGACCAGCCACAGCTCAGGGACCTGCAGCTATCCCTGCCTGGGACTGGCTGCTCCCAGGGCCCACTGCCTGCTGCCACATGGCCCACTGCCACTGTTTGGGGGATCTGCAGCATTTCTAATTTTTCCATTACACTGACACCCCTAGATTCCACCTCCTCTGAGCAGAAAGTAAGTAGAACAGTCAATACCCACTCCTCCAACAGCAGGCAGTATCAATCTCTGAGGGGGTGGTATGTCTTAGTCATTGCTCTATTGCTATCCAGGGCCACCATGACCAGGGCAACTCTTAGAAGGGAAGACATTTAGTTGGGAGCGCCTTTATAGTTTGAGAGGTTTAGTCCAAAGTCACCATAGTAGGGAGCAAGACACCGTACAGACAAGCACTGGAGCAGTACCTGAGAGCCATACCCTTGTCTGTAGGCAGAAAGAGGAACACTGGGCCCGGCTGGGCCTTTGAAACCTCAACACCCACCCCCAGTGACACACTTCTTCCAACAAGGCCACACTTCCTAATCCTTATAATCCTTTTGAATAGTTGCCACTCCCTGGTGATTAAGCTTTCAAATATGAGCTTATGGGGACCATTCTTATTCAAACCACGGGGTATTAAGCATAGTTAGAGGGACAAGAACAACAAAAGCAGGCACTGTGAGAGGGCTACTTTTTGTTCCCAGAGGACTCAGTGAGGAGAAATGACTAGAAAGTCTGGGAGGGGGACAGGTATCTATACAGGACCAATAGGGGAAAGAAGAGGAACTGGAAAGTACCCAAGTCAGCCTCTGTTTAATGGACTTCCAGCTTTAGACTTCTCCCATCTTGACAGGAAAAAGCTGTGTCTTCTGTCTTCCTAGTCATTCAATTCTTTGTTCGTGTCAGGGAGCAAATTCATCAATCCCCTAGACAGCTGTCACATCTCCATTACAACAAAGATGCCAGAAACACCCTGGACAAAGACGGCCTCTTCAACAAATGGTGCTGGAAAAACATGCAGAAGAATGAGATTAGACTCGTATCTATCACCCTGGTCAAAAAAAAAAAAAAAGTTCCAAGTGAATCAAAGAATTCAATATGAAACCTGAAATGCTGAAACATATAGAAGAAAGTTGGGGCATATCCTACAAGAGCTAGGTGCAGGAAATGACTTTCTGAAAAGGACTTCCTTTGCCTAGAAATGAAGGCCCAAAACTGACAAGTGGCACCTCATAAAACTAAAGAGATTCTGTACAGTTATGAAAATAACCAATTGGGTGGAGAAGAAACTCAGCTAAACATCTGACCAAGGATTAATATCCCAAATACATAAAGAACTTAAAGAGTTACCAAAACAAATGAGCAATTAAAATAGACTATGAATCTGAACAGAATTCTCACAATGAATGAATATGGCTTAAAATGTTCACAATCTTAGTAACTAGGGGAATTCAAATTACAGCTCTGATTTCATCTTACCCCAGTCAGAATAGTTAGAATCAACAAAACAACCAACAACAAATACCTTTGAGGAATTTTAGAAAAGGGAACCCTCATTCACTGTTGGGGGGATTCAAAACAGGTAAAGCCACTCTGGAAACAATTTTAAGAATTCTCACAAGTCTAAAAATAAGTCTAACATATTATAAAACTACAGCACCCCTTGGCATATGTCCAAAAACCTCAACATCCTGGTCCCATAAATGCTTGCTCAGCCTTGTTCACTGTCGCTCTACACAATAGCTAGGGTAATGATTTGAATAGGTATGCCCCCATAGACTCATGTCTTTGAATGCTTGGCCCAAAGGGAATGGCATTAGGAGGTGTGGCCTTGTTGGAGGAAGTGTCTCACTGTGGAGCTTGGACTTGAAGTCTCATATGCTCAAGCTATGCCCAGTGTGGGACACAGTTGATTCTGCTGCCTATGGATCAAGATCTAGAACTCTCAGTTCCTTCTCCAGCACCATGTCTGCTTGTACACCATCACAAAGATAATGGTTTAAACCTCTGAAACTATAAGCCAGCCCCGATTAAATGTTTTCCTTTATTAGAGTTGCTGTGGTTATTGTAGCTATTAACAGCAATAGAAACCCTAACTAAGACAGGTAGAAAATCCTAAAGGTCTGTAACTAATGAATGAATAATGAAAATGTAGACACTATATGTAATGAAAAATTAAATCGTGAAATTTGCAGCAAATGGAACTATAAAATATTATATTGAGAGGAATAACTCAGACCAGAAAGACACACACTGCGTGTTCTCTGTTATCTGTGATTCCTATATCCAAATCTTCAGATATGACTATGTAACCTTGAGTAATTGCAGTAACCAGAAATTTTAAGAAGCACATGTGGTGGCGGACGATCCCTAGAGAGGGAAATAGCAGGACATGAGTGCTATGAAGAGGGGAATTGGAAAAACAAGGAGCGGAGTTTTCACTGGGAAAGGGGGAGGAAAAACAATGCAGAAGAAGAGGGCACAAACAACATCAAATATTTGGAAAATTAATAGTGAATCATATTATGCTGTATTTACCTAAAATTCCATGAAATACATTTATGTAGACATATATATGATGGTTTCAATTGGTACAAAAACTAACACTAATCACCCTGGAGAAACTATGGTGAAGGGACTATTTCTCAACATGTTATTCATCATAAAGCTAAATGGATGAAAGTTGGACTAAGTTCAACTGAAATCAGAACAAAACAAGGGTATCCATGCTCCCCACTCAAATTCTACATAGTACTTAAAGTACTAGCTAGAGCATTAAGACAAATGAAGGAATTGAAAAGAAGTCCAAGTATCCCTATTTGCATATAATTTTTTTCTGCAACTAAAAGACCCTAAAGACTCCCCTAGATCTGACAAACACTTTCAGCAAGGTGGCAGGCCACAAAAATCAACATACACAAATCAATGCCCTTGCTATATACCAAAGGCAAACATACCTTCACAATATCCTTAACTTATATAAATAAAATACCTAACCAATTGTGCCTGTTTAAATAAGAAATGTCCCCCATAGGCTCTGAGTTTTGGATACTTGGTCCCCAGTTGGTGACACTGTTTAGGGAGGTTGAAGAAGTATGGCCTTGTTGGAGAAAGTATGTTACTGTGGTAAGGCTTTGAGAGCTTAAAGTCTTGGCCTGCTTCCAAATTGCTCTCTGCCTCTTGCTTATCTTTAGGATGTGAGCTTCCTGCTCCAGTTGCCATGCATGATGCTGCTATGCCTCCCTGCCATGATGGATTCTTTATCCCTGTGGAACCATAAACCCAAAATAAATTCTCTCTTCCATAAGTTACTTTAGGGAGTAGTATTTAATCACAGCAACAGAAAAATAACTAATACATCAAGGAAATGAAAGATCTATAAAATGAAAACTTTAAAACAATGAAGAAATTTAAAAAGACACCAGAAGATGGAGAGACCTCCATGAATATGGATTGATTAATACAGTTAATATTGTAAAACAAAAAATTGGTCATCCTACCAAAAGCAATCTACAAATTCATTGTAATTGCCACCAAAATTTCAGAGGAATTGTTCATGGATATTGAAAATGCAATCTGAATTTCATATGGAAGTACAAATGACCTTGAGTAGCACAAATAATCATGAGCAATACACACACTACTGGAGGTATAGCCATGCCTGATTTCAAAGATTTCAGAGCCACAGTAAAGAAAACAGTATTGTACTTGACACATAAACAGGCAAACTGAAGACCAGATGAAAGAACATATACCTACAGCCACCTGATTTTTTCGATTTGTTTATTAACTGAATGTTTTCATTTATTTTGCATCCTGACTACAGTTTCCCCTACCTCCATTCCTTCCCTCCATCTCTCCTTTAACTCCTTCCCTCCATCACCTCTGTTCAGAAAAGGGCAGGCCTCCCATTGGTGCCAACAAAGCATGGCATATCAAGTTCAGGTAGGACTTTAAGCTCCTCCCTTTGTATTAAGGCTAAGCAAGACAACCCAGCATTAGAAACAGGTCCCGTATCCACTGCCAGGAGTCCCACAAGTAGACCAGCCGCACAACCGACACACACATGCAGAAGGCCTAGTCCAGCCCCATGCAGGCTCCCTAGCCCAGCCACCTGATTTTTGACAAATGTCAAAACTAGACATTGGAGAAAAGACAGCATCTTTACCAAATGGTGTTGTGAAAATTGGGTATCTAAATGTAGCTAAAATTTGCTTCTTATCTGTCAGCGTGTGCAAAAATCAACTCCAAATGGATCAAAGATGTTAACGTGACCCCTGAGCCCCGAGACTCTGAAACTTCTGAGAGCACACACACTTCAAGATAGGCTCAGATAAGGACTCTCACAAAACAGAAGCAACAACCAACAAGTTGGATTTCATCAACTTAAAAGGTGTCTATACTGCAAGATAAACTTTCAATTAACTGGAGTCATACAGAATCCGAGGACAGAGGCATGAGTCTTCAAAAGTACATGTTACAGAGAGTTAGTATCTAAGGTACATAAAGAACTCAGAATATTAAACACCAAGAAAGCAAACTCAATTTTAAAATTGGCTATGGAACTGAACAGAACACTATCTAAAGAACAAACACAAATAGTTGAGAATAATTTTTAAAGTATTTAATACACTTAGCCATCAGGGAAATACAACTTAAAATTACATTTAGATTTAATCTATCCTATTCAGAAATGGCTAAGAAAACAAGTGACAACAAAGGCTGGTGAGGATGTGAGAAAAGTTGAGCCCTCACTAACTAGTGTGCAAACTGATATAAGCAAGAGGAAAATAGTTGAACTGGAGTTGCCCTGCAGAAATGATAATGTTTCTCCCAGAAGCCAGAGGTTGCCAAATAAAATCCCACAGTCCCAGGCATGAAATCCCTGCCCTCAAGCTATTTGTCTGGATTGTTCCAGATGTCTCTCAAACAATACAGGTGCTGCCATTGCTCTTGGTTGCCCACCAGAACTTGGTGGTAAGAGCCTAAGTGCTGAAGACTGCGAATTCGGAGCCTAATAGCTGAAAAGCCACAGGATTCCGAGTAATCAAGCTGGTACTGAGTGGGGAGCTTCCCCCCTACTGGCTAGCTTTCATACTAATGAAAGCTACTGCACAGGCTTCTGGGAAAGAGAAGCTGTTAACAGCCCTACCCAGCTGTGAACCCTGAAAGCTATAATAATGACCAGCCTGTCAAGGCAGAGGTACAGTAGTAACTTAATGTAAGGCATCAAGGAATTAAATTACCGGTGACAAGTACAAACAACACCAAACTGAAAGGAAGTTGAACTGCGGCATTTATATTATCTCTGTGAAGGAAAGAACATCTCCCTTTGAATGTTTGTCATTTTATTCTAAGAAAAGTCAATATTGCTACAAAATCACTAGTGGATTTCTTGGTATTTACATGGCACTGAAAGGTACTTCATAATTATATAAAGAATCACTGTAGTAATCAAATAAGTTAGACACAAAGATATTGCTTTCCTGAGGTATACATCAAAGTGTAAGTGTGGCAGCATTGTGTTCAGGGTCATTTCAAAAAGCATCGGAAATACCTACTATTCTTTTCTCTCGTTTTCAAACATGACAGAGGCTGTGCACTTCAGAGAACTGCTGTACATATGTGTCTGGCCTGGCACAAGATGTATCCTCTGCTTCGATTGGCGAATGCTGATAGAACCACAATGCTTTGCAAGGCCTGACTTCTCTCTGTGTGAGTGTGCCCACTCCAGAGTTCCCACGCGATTCTCCGTCATCGGGTCTATGACCACACTGGATGCCTCCTTGCCCCCATCTCCATAACTCCAGGTTTAGGGATCTGAATCTGTCTCCCTTTCAATCTGGCAAGGGAGGGGCCACCTCCTGTCCCCTCAGAACGGTACTGGCCAGTCTCTCAGTAGTGGCTGACCCATGTTCAAGTGCTGTTCATCTACTCTTCTAGAATAGACGACGCCTGAACTAAAGTAAGTGAATAACGGCCAATGACTGTGTTTCAAAAGGAAG